AAAATTTGAGAACAATTTCAAAAAACTGCAAATGCTCGAGGAGGTATATGAGTGATGCACTATAAACTAACCTCACATTACATACAGTTATCACAACCTGAATTCACTTTGATCCGAATTAATAGTCTATAGAGACTACTAGCTTTAGCTGTACTATACCTAAAGATACTGTCCCGCACTTGTTTGTCTACAACAGGCATCATGTTTTACCAGACTCCTAACTACAGTGATCTATACTTGACTGCCTGGGCATTGTAAAGCTACTGCGAAATGGGAGGGATCAATCATGACCGACGGTGGTTGTTTTCTTTCTCTGAACTCGTTGTGTGTCATGCTACAATGACGACCTCTTCGATAAATATATCCGGAGGGATGGCGGCTAGTAGGTCCATATTCATGAACGTTACCTCATATGTCAGAGTGGCTGACCTTTCGATGACCGAGCGCTCATCCCTACCGTGCTATCGTATCCATCATCTGCTCGTATTATGAACATCTGCCTTGACGCCGATCCAATGCATCGTACGTCAGGTATCATGAAATAAGTTCTCAAAAGGCGGCCGAAGAGGCAATAATAATGAATACATCGTGTCCTTCGCGAATCCCTAGCAAAAAGGAATATCATGTTCAGGATGTGGCTCTTCTATCTTGAAGCCGCTCCGAATAACACATTATTCTTATCATAAGCCGCGGTTAGCTCACCTCTTGGCCACAAGGGGTTCACGTCCTCTGCGTTCTCAAATTTCACCACCAGCGCTCTGAGTCTCCTCTAGTAGCTCATCTAACACAACGCGTGGCACTGGCCTGCATTGCAAAGGTCCAACACCACTATGCAGCCCCGAGTAGTGAGGCAATACCTGTAGCACTATCAATCACCAGCAACGAGCCAGTCAGTAGCTCACAAGTGGTATGCTAAAGAGAGGAGGGGAGGCCGTCACTTGAGCTGGTGCTGGCGCTGGATGCGACGGCCACATACCTTGCATAGCGATCGAATGAGCAACCCCCATTTGCTCAGCCAAAATCTGCTACAGGGCTTTCGAGTGGAAAACGACGATACCCGGTGGTGACCTCTTCTTCGGCCTTGGGTGGACGCTCCTTCAATTCTTCTTGAAAATGAGCGTAAGAACAACGCCCAAGAGGACGATACCATGCGAATTCAACGACAACCACACCTTATGAACTCACGTGCACTCTTTGCCATAGCGACAGAGCTCGGTCTTTTGCAGCCTTCTATGTCGGGTTATTGCGACATCTGAGCGGTGCACTCGCTCTAGGTGTGTGAATCACTGTGTAGTTTATGGTGGACTCATAGGTGTTACTGGGACTAGGGGGGGTCCTGGTCGCTCATTATCATTGATAAAAACTGTCGTGTTGATGGTAGTATGATTGAGAAAAGTAAGTCACAGATTATAGCAGATATGTTCATGTCGCACCTTCAACAACGTCACACACAGTCCACATAACCATGTAAGGAACATGGCCATGAAGCGTTGTTACCGTCATGATTATAATCGTCGTAGCACTCACCGCTGCAGTAATATAGCCACCAACACACAAACAGTATCAATACAGAGCTTTCTTCTCACAGTCGTCGTAACTACTACTTATACTACTGCTACTACTCATGCATACAAAGACGATCTACTACTACAACAACAACTAGCGATATAAATGAGCATCATTATAAATAATCATCATAGACTGAGTCGTGTACTAGAAGGTGGTGTCGAAGGTGGTAATAGTCGAGAACATGTGGACAATAGTCGAGATTCGGACATGGCAAATGATAGTAATCCATATGGATGGATTCATACGGCTACTTTGAGTAGCACAGACGACAATCTACTACGACCAGACGAGGGTACTTCAGCTCGACTTGGATCTGCATAACAATAACAGTCAAAGACTATACACTCGAGTTGTTACATGCTGTTCATGCTAACTCCTAGACTGGCCAGATCTCTGGTACCACCAAAGTCACTCTGGGTCTCGACAGCATCATCTACAGGAGAGTAAACAATCCCCACTCAGCGTGTATGTGCCTTACAGTCATTGGCCTTGCTCGTACGGGCACCATGGCCATCTACTGAGGGGGCCTTTGAGGAAGCATCACGGCTCTCATCATGGGAAACCAATCCGGGTGGTTTCGTCAACAAAGCCGAGCTAATGAGAGACTCTGACCTCACTTCTCGTTAGGCTCACCTTGAGTCGTTGACAGAAGCAGTAACAG